GCAAAATTGGTGCAGATGTAACACAGATGTAATGCAAATCAACAGCAGCAGAATGAAACCATAATTGTACCAGAAAAAATAGTAAAACAGTAGCTGGGGCTGGCTGGGTTGAACTTCTACATTGAATTTAGCAAGTGTTGTATGCAAAGTTACAGAAGCAAAAATGCATTTCTAGATGACTTTGAGAGAGACAGAGCCTAGCACAGCACAAATAATTCCAACAGGACTCAGGCTAATTTTTCCACTAGAGTAACAGTGAGAGGATACAGCCGCAAATACAGGTGCCTTATAGTTAACCTCACCTAGTGGCAGAGTGTAACCAACTCTTTCTGACTAGAAACTTCAAGATGTTTCTTCTCTTCTTGAATGCATTTCCGTAAGAATGTCCTCACCCCCACACCTCCAAGTTGCCAGGGAGCGTGCTTGGGCAGCCCTTGCTAAGAGAAATTATATCAAACACATTGAAATATCAATGCACACAGTACCTTTTTTTTTTTTTTTGTTAAATCTTCCTGATTTACATGTATCTGTCATACACTGGCTGACAAGGACATAATTCACCTAACCGAGAATTCACTTCTAGGCCTGTGCTAACCTTACAAAATTTGATTCTTGATCCATTTCTCAAGTAGCCAACACTACGGACATTTGTGAAGTATTATTCCATCCTTCTATACCCTAAGGCCACCAAGCTTGTCACTCTTGTTCCCACTCTAGGAAGTATCTTGATACGTGAGCATCGTTTACTGCTTTACTGGACATCAAACTCCACATAAAATTGCTCTGCTGAACTCAGAGCTAAAAGGTTAAACATTCAGTCCCTAAGCGAGACAGTACACCATAGAAGTGAGACACAAGGAGATGCCTTGTGTATCTGCAAAGCAGAAGGGAAGAACCCGCTTAGACACAGCTGCTGTCTAACAACCATGTTTTATGTGGAACACTTGGGGGCTACTCTATTTTTATAACTTTCATCCATAAAATAAGAAGCTAAAGCTTCTGGAAAGAGAATACAATTACCCTACAATGATATAACAGTCAGAATAAACTCAACACAATCTGTATAAGCAAAATAAAAAGCTTCCAAGCTTTTTTTCAATTGGCAGTAGATAATATTTAATAACTGCCCTATTGTCAACCTTCAGAAATGATCTCCAGAGCTATATGCAGGCTGGCAACCAGGCATAGCGCCTAACTAGTTTTTGCATCTAGTTGTACAGAAGTAGAGACATATGGAAATGAACAGCCTGGCAGAACAAGTGAACTCTGAAGCAATGACTTCGATAAATAAATGCCTGCACATTGGCAGATGGAGAAAAGCGCAGTAGGGAGGAACTGTATTGCAGCAGCAACTTGATTTTAAACGATTCGTAAAAATCAGCCTGAACTTCGGAATCGAAGCATTTCCAGTTCCTTCAGTTCTCTTCTTGCTGGGGAAAATTCTCACCATAAAAAGAGGGAAGGTGAGGCTAAAAAGATGTATCTAACTAAAGATACCAGAAGCTGCTTCAAGGAGCAGAGAATAGCACTGGGAGGTCTCTGATCATTTTTGCCTTTTATTACATTGCTAATCATGTTTTCAGTAGCTTTCAGAAAGACACAACCAATTATTCCCAAAAGTCTAGAAAAGCAAGATGCGGAGAGACATTCTCAAGCTATAGGGCAGAGCCTGAAATGTGAGCACAGTGGATACAGGTACGTGGGATACACAGACCTTTCCCGCAGTGAATGGAAACTTGTGCTTGATGCAATAGCTACCTTCTGCACTCATTCCTCTGGAGATGGGTCTATTTGTAGGCAAACTGAATCTTTCCTATTTGCAGGCTACAGACTGATTCCTAGTCACTGTTAAATGTGACAGATGAGTGGAAAACAAGTATTACTACTGCCCTGCTGCTAGCAGAGGACTAGCACGTTTATTCCACATTTTGGAATAAGGGGACTCCTTGTCTGGTGATCTCAAAGTTCTGAAACACTTTCCTGTGTAGGTCCTCTAACACCAATTGACATTACAGTATGAGAGATAGCAAAGGAATAGGCATTCCTGTATCCCATCAGAAAGCACAATGTAATGCAACATTTGTATTACTTTTATACGTTATGTGGTGTGCACAGCCTCATATGTCCCCACCTCTTTCCTCTCTTCACTGACAGCCTCCTATACAATAATTAAGATATGTATCTTTATGCATAGATGCAACCCGATGGGGAAGATTTTCAACACACAACTGTCATTCAGGGTCTCCAAAGACAAGAAGAAAATGAAGAGTTAAAGGTACATTTTAATTCTTTGGAGTCTACTTCTACAATAGGATTGCATCATACTGGCATGGTACGCAAGTAGTCAGTACCTGTGGTGACCTTCTCAACTATAACAAGTGATCCCTTACTAAATACCACTGATATGCATGCAAAAGCAGCAAAATGCAGAACTCCCTGTCAGATGCATACTGATTCTCTCCATGCCCAGTACCAAGCACTGCAGTAAAAATAAGAGAAGGGAAAGAGACACATGAAGAAACCGAGGAGAAAATAATCCCGACAAACTGTGATGGCCCAGAGTTAACAGGTCAGCCCTACATACAAAGTACTGTACTTTTCCAAGAAAACAGTCACTTGCTGCTGTCCCCTTTGTGGGTAGCCAAGTAGACGAGCTTCATGCTGTAACATTGAGGCCAAGGCAAAATTAACCTAAAGATTATTGTGATGGAGAAGATGATGAATTTAATTAAACTTCAATAAACTAACTAAACTTCACTAAACTTCCCCTCAATAACAGCCCACCTTTTGTTATAAAGATTCTCCCTTTCTCTTCCTGACGCTTCATCAGTTATTATTATGCGTATGATCTCACTTCTTTGCACTGCTTGGCTACCCACCTTCTCAGAACTCAGATATCTATAACACCTCATCTTCTTCTCCCACATCACACGGTGATCAGGAAACCCAGCAGGCAATGATTTTCAAATGAGTGTACCTAAAGCCAATCCCCACATTATGCTGAAACCATTCACAATGGAAATCAGTTTAGAAACCATTTCACTTTGATAAGAATCACCATGGGAAAACCATAGCCTGCCTTCCACAGACCCTCCCACGGATCTGTCAGCTCTGTAAACCTCTGCTATGGATCAGGCTATTTGCTTCTGCCCACATAAAGTCCATAGCAAAGCAAGTACAGATATTAGTCCAATGAGTCAATGGCCATATGCATGCATAAAGTGAAAATAAAGGTGGATTATCTTTTCACGTATGCCACTGTGTAAATGTTTTGTAATAAATAATAACGGCCACTATCAATCAAGAGAGTGGAGAACAGATGGGAAGGAGGTCGTGTTGAGAGAAAGGACTCAAACAGGAATATGTATTTTCTCCCCCACCTTCCCTGGTCTGATAACAGCCCTAAATAAACCCTTGCAAATCTCCATCAGTGTGTTCCAATATTCCATGCAACTCTGGCTGCTTTACTACCACAGCACAGCAGAATCACAGATATTAACGCATCTACAAAATGCTGCAACATCAGAATGTGGGTTTGGGATTCCCCCAAGGAAGGATCCCCTTCTATGGATCAACCCCTCTATCCAGCATTATGGTCATTTCATCTACTGTCACACCTTCAGGCAGGTTTGACAACAGATCTGACCCTGGAAAAAAAAAAAAGTCCCTATTAATGATGAAGCTCAAACTCCTCCTCTTCTTGAACAAAAACTCAGGGCTAGCTGAATTTCTCAGTTTTCTTACTTTTGTAAGAAAATATTTTATATTTAAGTCTTTAAAAGAAGTGAATGTTTACTTGATGGCTGCTATTCTGTCCAGCAAAACAATTGCTGAATCTCCAGGTTTCTCTCCAGTGCTAAAAGTTTAACATTACAACTTGAATTAAGGTTTCTTAATGGATGTTGTAGCAAATTCACTTAAGGCTGCAGATTTAATATAAGAGGGCAGTCTGTGGCACACATTTGTAGGTAACAAGCATTTTTACCAAAATAATCTAAAACTTTAAATGACGTCTAAATAACTCTAAATAAAAAGTGGGTTCCAGATTCTCATTCGTAATAACATCATTGTACACAACTCTGGTTGCAAAAGCCTTTAAAATGGATAAAAACTACGGCCCCCGACACTCCCAGATCTTGTTACTCTTTGCAACCCATTATCAATAACTTGGTCTTAGTACAGCACTGAATATCTAAACATACCTAAAAATATACGTAAAACATTGTGCAAGGATTACATTAGGGCTGCATTTATGACCTATACTCTACTCTGTTCCATCGCAGCTGAAGTGCAGTCTGTATCTGAACGATAATGGCTTCACTCTTGCTCCTAAAACCCCAGAGGAAGGCAGAAAGCTTTACACCACGGCAGGCAAAGCAGGATCCAGCCCTTGAGATTTCCCATTCTACAGAGACGAGCAATATTACCCTCCAGACTCAGTTGTTGTGATAGGTCTTAAACACAGCAGAACCGTGGTGTTTCCCAAAGGAGTGACATGAACTGAGTATTTATCTTCTTGGCAGTGTCGGGGCAGGCAATTGATGGCATATCGGAATTTAACTGGCAATGCAGATTCAGAAAGGTTGAAAACTACAATCAGGTTAAATCGGTATCTATGAATAGTGAACAGCAGAAGAGGCTGAAAAATCATCCTGTGCTCAGCCCAGATGTCACACAGGGGGGCTTCTTCCCCCGCTTCCCCCCACCCCACCCCCCAAAAGACCCCCCCATAACACTGAGTTGGAAAGACAGTAAAGAAAAACACTTTGCTTTACATATTAAGAACTAATCTATAATACTGTAAGCAGCCAAAATAGCGTGTATTTCAAGAACTACCCAACCATCTTGAAAACAAAAACACACCTGAAAAAAACCCCACAAACAAAATCCAAAAGAGCCAAACAATTTTTTTTTGTATTTTTGTATCTTTTTGTTTTTGCATGGCATGTTTTTTAGTTAGTTATGAAAATGACAAAAAAAGAACAGCATGGACTACATACCTTAGCTATTTGGACACACCAGTTTAGCAGAAGCTGGGAGCCAATATTATCCTTATGTTCATGAACATAATCCAACAGGCAGCCATGAGGCATCAGCTGAGTGACTAGTTGAATGGTCGGGCTCAAGCAGACACCCAGGAGTCTCACCAGGTGTGGGTGGTCCATGCTGGCCATGATAAGAGCTTCCTGTAACAACAAAAGTGACCCAGTTACTCCAGTGTGCTTAAAGACTCTATGCATAGAAGATTTCCCATAGAGCATCTAAAGGAGATCAGTGTCCCCTAAGTACCACGAATTCCTGTGTTGTCCATCCAGTGCTAGGCACACCTAGGCAAAATCCAGTCTCATGTAATGTTTGCTTGATGTAGTGAGCCCCAAGCAACGGGTCAGACTATCTGAACAGATCCAGTGAAGGCTCAGATCAGAAATTCTGAACTGCCCTATATTCCCTGTCCCATTACAGGCACAGAAGCAAAGATGTAAGTGTGACACACTTGACTTTGCTTAAAGGTCTCATTGGTCTTGTTTTACTTCCCTTAATTTTGTTTCTTGAATACATTTTCCCAATTTGTGGTCAATCCATTGGGCATCAGCTTTTTTTAATGCAAGCAAACTATGCCACTCATGTATAGTTAGATGGCCAGTTAGGCCTCATTTGGCAAGATATTTGATTAAGCTGTGCTAAAATGCCTTACTGGATCAGAGATTTTATGCTTAGTATTTTACAGGCTTAAGCAAGTAACATTTGTGTGTCAACCGAAGCTTTCCCAGAGTTCAACCTGCAAAGGGTTAAGAATGAGGAGGTTTAGCGTGGACTTTCCAAATGTGTCTGATGCTCATAAGTCCTACTGAAAGTCAGCAGATTTGTTAAGCCATTAGGATATGACAATGCTGCTGTCTGTATGACTGTTGTATAGCAATAGCCTAAACTAGCAATCGTGATGGTACAGTAGTAGCCCAGCTGCCTGTCTCCTGATGTTACCACAAGTAGAGCACTACACAAAGCAGCAGCCTTCTAAATCTGAGCCTCTTAGCTCAGCTCCTGATTCTTCCAAAGTCATCTACCAATAGATCTTGGGTGAGTTATTTCCTTTTTTCTATGCTTCAGCTTCCCACACAACAAACAGGAGATAATATTCCTTTCTTTCTTCTATACTTTAATTATTTTTTCAAGATCATAAGTTTTCAGAGGTTTTCAGCTAGCAAGTTGGATTGCCCCATACCAAGGACCAGAAGGACTTAATCTTGGCTATGCTATTCAGCCCTAAAGTTTGTACCACTGACAAGTAACACAGGAGCTCCCTATAAAAAAACTACATATCTGTTCTTAGAGGTAATGCTGCCATCACAAGCAACTGGCATTCAAAAAAGGCAGGGAGAAAGCTTTTCTCTCTCATTCACTAAGCTAAGTCCTCCATTTCAAGACCACTTCATCATGGCAATGGAACAATGAAACGTGAGATGAAACTATGGCTTTGTAAAGCTATTTTGGTTCTCTTTCTCAAAAAACCTATACGACATCTTTCTGACAACTTAAAGAATAACAGCTGTAATAGTGCCAAAGAAAGAAAGATAGAAAAAAAAGGATGAGAAAAAAGTTGGCATCAGAGAACACAGCATGCCCCCGCCCCAAATCATAAAAGGTTTGGGTTTTTTCCCCCTTCCCTATATTAAGGCAAAAAAAAAGTCCTGGCAAGTAGGCTGAGTTTGTATTAAAGGAAATTGCTCATCATAGTACAAAGAATATTTGAAACCAAATTGCAGAGTATTTGCATAATAGTTCTCTCTCTTTCTTTCCCTCTCTTTTTTTGTTAAAACGAAAAGATGAACAAGGCACTAATTGTAGGGTGTTTTTCCCCCCAGTAAGAAAAGAGCAGATGGCCTCCACTGGCGGGAGTATCTCCTTCCTTTTTCTTCCTAAACGTATGTGAAAAATAAAATAAATAAATGAATAAATAGGGCCTATTTGATGGGATGACTGGAGGAGGACCTCTGAGGAAGATTCCAATGTAACAAATTAGAAAAGGGATCTTAATTTAGTTTTGCTCACATTCAAATTAATATAGTTCTCGCTCACTCAACTCGTATGTACAGGGTCTCCTTGAAACAATTTTAGCCTCTCTTCTGCTGTCACTAGAAAATGTCACTGAAGGCCACCAGAATAAATACCTGTTGACAGGTGCGTTATCCAGTTTCAGAGCACAAAATTACTCTGCCTCATTTTTCTCCTGCACATGCATAAGGGGATAGTACTTGTTGCCCTCTCCCTCTCTGAGTAAAGGTAAGAGTTTCTCCAGGAACTTGGAGCGGGTGTACTTTTCTGTATAATGAGGACTGATTAGAACATAAACAATATATTCTTTTTGCTCACCAAGGGACCAGATGGAAAGCTTTGAAACATGTGCTCCATTAGTCTCCAGCTACTTGCCATTTACAAGTCTATCTGAGTCCAAAGGAAAGACACTTCTGTACAATAATAAAAGCAAGCAGTGGCATTTGTCTCATTCTGATGTTATGGGAAAGCACATATTCTTCCACTAGTTTTGGGCAATGGTTTCAGAAAAAAATAAAAATGTTGTTAATAAAATATTATGGACTGCTCTGTAATGAATTGAGACACACAACAGAGAGCAAGGAAACCTTCATTATAGATCTAAGTCACTAATGGATACTAATTTACCATGAATCCTGGCTTCACATAGTTATTCTCATTAGTAAAAGTATTGTTATTTTTATTGAACTCGCATCTACAGGAGAACTAAATTCAGGGTTATGTCTATCCGGCACAGCACAAACACAAAGTAAAAGAGATTGCAATTGTTCTGCCAGAACCTAATTAGACAAAACAGACAAACAACAACAACAGAAACATTATGACTTAGTAGCATTTTAAAAATCTGTTCAGCAAATAAGGAACACTAGTCCCCATTTTAAAATCTGTTTGGACACGAAAGACCCTAGAGCTACAATCTTCATGGCACTTAGGCACTCTGCAGCCTGGTTCCCAATTAAATTTTCTAAACCCTTTAATCAGGTAAGGCACCTAAGCTCACAGACTTGGCGGTCTGACACTGGCATCTTTCAAAACTGGCTTCTGCAATTTCCCTCATCTTTTGGTAGCCTTACTTCTGCAGAGCTTGTCTCTACACTCAACTGGCACAATTATACAAATTATTTTAAAATTGCACCTATTCTAATTTAATAGCGAGGAAACTGAGGTACAGGAAAGCACAACCTACTATCCACAGTCACATAAGAAGCCTGGAGCAGAAGTGGGAACTGGGCCCCAGATGACTTTATCCTTCTCTCCTGAAAAAAAATCCTTTGAAGGTTGAAATAAAACAGGGGAGGAGGGGAGAGAAATTATTAAGTTACAGTACTTTATCTTTCCCCCAGGAGTCAGTGTCTTTGTAACATCATGTGCTTACACTAGCATCTGAGAAATGACAGGAGTGGTGACAGTTTTCAAAGGCTCCTGTTGGACATCAGGCACCCTCCTTCATTCATCTGCAGGAGCAAGAAGTCTTATCACAAGAGTAACTCCCCAGCCAAACCAAATGTCTTCCTGGAGTTTGTTCATGCTACTGTCACTGCTCAGGTATTAATTATCACAGCAGTGCGTGGCAGCCATACACAGGATAGCTATAAGCCAGCCAGCTTAGACACAGGTAGCAGTTGTGAAGCTCAGCTTGCCCTTACCTCTGAGATGTATTTTGCAGTCTACGGTGAGCCCTGGCCAGCTGAGGTACTGCAAGATCTCAAATGAGTTACTTAAAACCAAGGCTGTGTATGTATATTCTATTCACAGCAGTGCTTACAATGTTAATATATATATATCTGAGGGGATGGCTGGTAAAGAAAGACCTTGATGCAGAAGGCAGCTAATCCCGCAAGTAGCTTGGCAGGGCCATTGTTGCGTCCCCCCAGCCTCGTCACAGAGAGAACAGCAAGTGACTTTGAGCCTTCCATGTTCAACTCAGTATTATACTTCTCAGATACGCTATTTTGTAGAAAGAAATGGCGTCATGTCAATCATTCCTCTCTTCTGCCCCTTTTGAATGTGGTTGAATTATTGCCACATTAAGCTCAACTCCTGTGGTTTATATACACAACCCTATATTAAACAATTATATTAAACAATGACATGTGTTATTTTAATGCTTTACACTGATCCATCTGTTGTGCATTTAGTAACACAACAGCATACCCAAGAAGAAGGGTGAGTTTGTAGGTCCCAGTGAACCGTCACCAGACCTATGACTGGTTTCTGTCAGCAGAGCTATGTCAACAGGGGTCTGAGGAGGTGCAATTGCTAACCCACAGCGAGAGGCCAAAAGAAGCCCTCAGAGCACCTGTATTAGACTGTCAAAACATGCTTAGAAAGGTAGAGCTTATTTAAGTCACGAGAGCTGGCCGTCACTGTAACAACACAACACATAGTTACGTCCAGGCTAAAAGTACTCGTCGACATGGATGACAAAAGGAACTAGCCACTCACTTCTCACAGGTCACTTAAGTCGCCTTCACTCCTTAGATGGCTTTGAAAATCCCATGTAAAACTGTTGCCTGATCTATCCATACTCTGCAGTCAAGTTTGAAATGCCTTTAAGTTGACTGCTGTTTTTGAAAAGTAACTCAAAATCCAACTAAAGCAGGCTTTTCATTTTGGCCTTCCAGGATGAGGAAGAAAAAACAATTCTCAAGACTGTGAGAAGAAAGGGTGCTCTGAGTAACACCTACAGCACATCTTATAAGATGGTATTTAACTTCCCCCTTTCCTACTTTGATGTGTTATTGCTAACAATTACAACTGAACATAAATATTAGCCAGCATGATTGTTCCTGAAGAGCATCCTTTGATAGCGTTTTTGTTTCTCTGACGATTTATTTTGTAAACCAGCAGACTCAGCAAGGTGCATGTGCCACTAGTAAAATAATGCCATACTTATGTCCATGTTGAAAATTTATTCTCCACACAGAGTGGTCCAGGACACAACGCTCTTCCAGCACATGTCCTCATTAATTAGTACACCAGTTCAGTACATGGTCAAGCATCCCTGGCCAGACTGTTCCTGAGATGCTAGAGATGGCATACAGGCAACTCCTGAGACCCCTGGGGTCCTGGAACCGGGAATAGCTGACAGCGAGCCATCACCCTGATGAGTCCAAAACCATCCTCTAAAGGA